CTGTGACCCAGTTAGCCGGGAGAAGGCGGCCATCCTGATCGGACCTCTTGTGAGCTGACTTCTGGTGCCCCACCCCCGAAAATGGGAAGCCTCTGTAATAAAGTCCCAATCCATATTCCCAGGATCCCTGATATTGGGGACGCTGGCCCTTTAAGAGCCGGCCAGCTGAGTGATGTAATGTGGGTGGCATCACGGAGTTTGCATCCCATGCAGCCCGGCTGCTGGTGCTGCTGCATTAGTGCTCTGTGTGGCTCGTTTCAGCATCACAATATAAACCGTCTATATTTAGCGAGTGGTGAGGTGTTGGCTTTCAGGGTGACTCTGTCCCGCTCTGGAAAGGCTGCAGGGAGATGAACCAAGAAGCCTTCAGGGGCCAGCAGCAGCCTTGTTTTATATTTATACTGATAAATAGTCCTAATAACCCATAATGACTGTGATTTCCCTCTGTGCTCAAGAGATGTGAATGAACAGGAATGAACAGGGGTTTGCAGTGGTACATGGTTACCCGCTGTTGTCATGTAATTAGCATGGTAATAGGGCAGACTGAACGGTGAGCTTTCCTCATTGGCTCTCTCCTTTCAACGTAGATGCTGAGCATTCTGGGAAAAACATGGCAGTGGAGGGCAAACGCCATGACTTGTGTGTTTATCCACAGTGTTCTACTGAAGCCAGCTAGGCAAGCATAGTGTCTGTGTCTCTCTGTGATCAGCAGGGCTGCACAGTTAGGTAGTATTGAGGGAAGATGCCATTACAATGAGACCCTGTTAACTGTTGCCGTTGCCCTAAATTTATAGCTGGGGTGTCCGTGCTCCTTGGCTTTTGTTTGAGGCTCCGGATGACGTTCCTTCAGGGAGAGGCAGTGAGGAGCCGGACTTTTGTTTGAGGCTCAGGATGGCGTTCCTTCAGGGGGAGGCAGTGAGGAGCCGGGCTTTTGTTTGAGGCTCCGGATGGCGTTCCTTCAGGGAGAGGCAGTGAGGAACCAGCTTTTGTTTGAGGCTCCGGATGACGTTCCTTCAGGGGGAGGCAGTGAGGAGCCGGGCTTTTGTTTGAGGCTCCGGATGACATTCCTTCAGGGAGAGGCAGTGAGGAGCCGGGCTTTTGTTTGAGGCTCCGGATGGCATTCCTTCAGGGGGAGGCAGTGAGGAGCCGGGCTTTTGTTTGAGGCTCAGGATGACGTTCCTTCAGGGGGAGGCAGTGAGGAACCAGGCTTTTGTTTGAGGCTCCGGATGACGTTCCTTCAGGGGGAGGCAGTGAGGAACCAGGGTTTTGTTTGAGGCTGCACTCCTTGTTTCACTTTCCATGAAGCCACAATCAGACGGCCCGTCCTGTTCATTTCACACTGCGTGCTTTGAGTGTGAAGCAGCGGCTCGCTTTCCCAGCAGCACCCGGCCATTGAGGGGGGTGGTGGTTTCTAAAAGGGCCCTCACTCATCCCATTGATGCTCCATTAGCTGAGGGGGGGTGCCATACTGAATGCTGGGGTCCTTGTTGTTATTGGAACGGAACTGGGCATTTGGGATAAACACACAGCGCCCTTCTTTGTGTCGTCCCGGCGTTATCCCTGCTCTGTCATACCTGTGTCTTTTGGAGGTTGTGCTGGGTGTCTGTGATTTTTGTGTGTGTTCTGTCTGGAGCCGCTGCTGACTGGTGCCTCAGACCAATCACACTTTCACACCAAAATTCGGATAACTACAAAATTCGTAACTACACCACCTCAAAACAAATCTCCCCACATTGTGACATTATTGGGAACCACCTTTTTCAGTCTCCGCAATTCAATTTTATGAAAATCTGTGACTGCAATCAAAAAACTAAAAATGCCAAAAGTCTTGTATTTTCTTTGGCTACTTATGATTAAAGGTTAGGGCTGGGTAGGGGTTAAGGTTGTTCTGCTAACCATCTAGCTACCATCTCCTGACTCTACTCCCGGTGTATTTATTTAGTTTTTGAAGTGACTTTTTGAGTAGGGCCCCAGAAGCAACCCCCCCCCCCCCCACCCCACTGTGCACTAAGTTCTCCTGGAAGAAGTACAGCTACAAACGGCAGAGCAGCCACGGCTCTGTTCCTCCTGACAGCTGCCACTGTCCGGGTTTCCCATGGTGCCCTGCTGCTGGGGCTGGGTCACTGCCGGCCGCCTGATCTCAGCACAGTGCGGCCCAGCCGGCCTGTAATTATCCAGAGTGCAAATGCAATCAGCTGGGGACCCAGCTTACATATCGCCTAATTGGGCGCATTCAGTGGCTCTATTAAAAGTTTTGTCCAAATCATAAAAAAACTTTCCAGAGTTCAACAAAGTGTAGCTGTGAAGAGGGAGTGTTTCCATTAATGGATGTCATGCGAATAAGATGCACCATTTGTCATTCAGCGAGATTAAGATCCATGTCTCGTGCTTCTGCACAGAGTGTGATTTCCATAAGTTAGTAGCTCTACACAAACAAAATATCATATTATCTTCCGTCTACCAAATCACACATTCTGTTTCCATTGCAGCTTTGACTCGCCACAAAAACCACCTCAAGCGAACAGGTTTTTCTCCCTGAAATTTGAGTGCTTTCTTTGATGGTTTTCCATCAAATTATGCAAAATCTAGGTCGATGGAAACGCCCCTATTCATGGTGGAGGAGCAGCCAGACGTGGCGCTCGGCAGGGGCCGGGACGCTGGCACGCACGCGGTGGCGTTCCTTAAGCCTGCTCCCCCCTCGCCGTACTCACAGTTTAGCTGGCTCCTTCACAGCTACGTGCCAGTGCTGTACTGTCTGCCCCTCCTGTGCGTCCCCTGAGATAAAAGTGCCTGCTAAATAAATAAGTGGCAGTGTTTTTGGGTGAGCTAAGCTTAGCTCCTCCTACACAACCACACATGGCACCTCCATCTACCACGCAGCCCCATTTGCCTGAGCCGAGTAGTTGCTATGGAGATTTTTTGGGGGGGGGGGTGCTCGGACGTGATGCCAAATGGTCCCTGGATGGGCCTGCCAACTCTGCAGAAGATTAACATTTAAAGACAGCGGGGCTCTTGGTGCATGTCCCTCCCAGGCAATTCTGTTGTACCCTTGGGCAGGGTACTAATAACCCATCCAGCTTCCTGCCTGTCCCGTTCAGGGTCTAGGGACATTATTATTATATTATACTAATAATAAATCAGGGATTTCCGTTGTTACCCTAATAATATATTGCACACTGTGCCGCTAATGGCACTTGAATGATACTCCGTCATTTGGGTCTCCATTTGAGGAGTGGTACTTTCCCAGGCCCACCATGCGCCCCCTTGTGGCCACAACGCCTCACTGGACTAGATCTCAGCGTGCTCATAGTCCCTGAGAGTCACCCTGCTTGTTAGACAGAACAAACCGCTGCTACTGTCACTGGTGAGTGTGTGAAGTGAGGCGGACATATCTGGCAGTGGTTAAGCAGCATCAGTCCCCGGGATCCCTGCTGTGAATCTACAGCACGCTCAGCCCTTATCTTGGATTACATCTTTATTACCGTGTATAAAATACCTTAGGAGGGGGGAGCTGCCTGTCCTTATCTGAGCCTCATTAGCAACATTCCATTGACATGAGGTAACCAAGACTGGACTTTACTGCAGCGTGGTCATGATGTGGTCCCCTCCCAAGGGCACGGCTAATTGGCTGCGCTGTGTCGGCTCGTTATTTGGGGGAGGGGTGCAGCTGATAGAGCTTGTACTTTGATCTGCGAGATAGAAGCGTGGTGAGTAACAGTGGTGAGTAACAGTGGTGAGTAACAGTGGCCCATTCCGAGGATGAAAACAGCCAGCTGTCTGGGACAGGAGCAGCAAGCCAGCAAATGGCAACGACAGCATGTCGATGGAGAGGTAGAGGTGTCACTCAGACAGTTTTTGACACCATTGATTGTACAGGATGACAGAATGAATGATATGGGTCTGCTGTCTGTGTTGTTAAGATGGTGGAGTTAAGGTTACCTCTCAGTAATGCTCTTCCTGACCATTTCTTCAGCTGTCTTTGGACGAAACACTCCTATAGTTCCGGTTCTGCAGTTGTGAAACTCTGGTGGGTGAAGACTCTCTCAATAAAATGCAAATGTATATCACTTATCTCATGTGTTCTCAGGAGGAATGGCTGCTCTGAATTTATCAGAGAGGACGGTAAAGGCTAAAGGTCTTCATCCTGAGGGTGCCACCTCAGCGCCCACTCCGCCTGGAGACTGTGAGAGGTCCACGGGCCGGTCTGTTCATTCATTCACGGATTCCGCTGTACGCCGCCTCTTGAGTGGCTGTCGTGGGCTCCGTTTCCCTTGGCAACGCTTTTGCCATCTGTGCCTAGATTGAAGGCGCCCCTCTGCAGCTGACTCCTCCGTGCCACCTCCCGTGGGCATAGCAGAGCTCGTACTGTCCCTTGGGGGGTTTGGGGCTGGTGTCTCAGGGTTGGAGATGGGTTATGTGAAGTACGCATGATCGCTCTCTCCAGTGTCCGAGGCAGATAAATGGCAGCTTGGGATAAGGACGGGAAGGAGGCATTGCTGCACATACTGATCAAAATGTCCGAGTCGATCTTCTTCCCTACTGGCAGGCAGAAGGGTTCCTGGCCTGCTATGTAAGCAAATCATCATTTATTTATCGAACAGTGTCCCTCTCTGTACCTGTAACTTCTGAGCCATTCCTTCCAGTCATTCACAAGGTCATGCACCATGTCATGTGACCAGCTTTGTAGTGCCATAGCGTGAGTGGCCTGCCCACTCATGCCCGTCCATGACCTGATCTTAAGCAGACTGCTTGCTGCTAATCAGGGAGTGCATGCTTAACCCCAACCCTAAGCCTAACCCCTAACCCTAAGCCTAACCCCTAACCCTAAGCCTAACCCCTAACCCTAATCTTCTCCCAGGTTCACCCCTATGAGTGCTCAGTCTACTTATGCAGTCTTTGGACACAGACCTCTGGTTCCCTGGGTTTGTCAGATATCGACCAAGTCATTGGTTAAAGTTTAATAGCCTTGCACGTCTTTGAAGGAGAAAGGCAAAGTCCAGCCAAGGCAATGAAAATGAACAGGAAAATGTGAGGCGTCTCACAGAGCTGTGAAGTCACACCAGACTTTCCATACCTCTGGACAGACACTCTGTGGGGACCATCACGCTCTGGGGTGGTTGCGTCGTGCCGTCAGCGGGTTGCTGTGTTGCCGGGACTTCATGCTTCTTCAAGTGCCAGGTGTTGTAACCTTGCTGTCTCTGAAGTAGGTCTTCAGGGCTGCATCTGTTTCTGCTGAAGCTGCGTGGAGAAATCCTGAAGCGTCTGTAGGTGACCCTTCTTGGGTACTGTCATGGGGATGAATGTTGAATAATTTGCGTGTGTGTGAGTGCTGCATGCTCAGAATAGAATCCTCTTTATTTGCCATTAGCTGTGGTGAACACAAAAAAATTGGCACCCCAAGACTCAACAAACTGGTGTATTAAGGTGTGCTGCATTAATGCAAAATGCGGTGTGTGTGTGTGTGTGTGTGTGTGTGTGTGTGAAATGCAGGTACTCTCCCCCCACCGATCCGCGCTGATGCTTACCCTGAAGCCACCTTGATGATGACTCATTGTAATTGAATAATGGTGTTGCACGCCGAACGCGACTGAAACTGATACACGATTTTAGGGCGTAGAGACTGAAACTGCCGACTGTGAAAAGGGTCAAAAACACTAAAGCAGGAGCCAGCGGCCCCTTCGGAAGGCATTGGTAGATGTTGCGTGGGTGAATATTTCCATTCAAATGTCTTGAAGTGACAATTTGGTCAAATACGTATCTTCTTGCAGAGATCTGCAGGGATGTGTTTCCCAACCCAGTCCTCAGGGACCCACAGACGGTCCACATTTTTGCTCCCACCCAGATAGTCCACATTTTTGCTCCCTTACTCAAAGTTGACAGGGAGAGGATTGGCAAACACTGCAGTTGAAGGTGGGGAGCTTAGTGACCCTGGCCGGCAGTGTCCGTGTGGACGGGGTAGGATCTGAGAGTGGAGACCTGAGTATCGCAGTGAGCTGGCTTTTATTCTGTTTTGTTCATCTCGCCCAGTGACCCCAGTTAGTAATGAATTATATATGTGCCATTAGCACCTATTCACTGGCTCAAAGAACTGCTATTATCCCGTATTCTATATAATACGAAAACCTTAATTGAGTAATTGGCGGGATGGAATACAGTGGACTCTCTGTGGTGCTTGAGAGCACAAGCACAAGCAGAGCTGAATAAGTGTAATGAACTGCAGGCTGAAGCTGGTGTGTTTTGGCAGTGCTTCTAGAGGGGGCTTCAGTGTGGAACCGCCCCTGAAATCTGCTTACCTCAATAGGAACACCGAGAAGCTGCGGTTCTTCTGAGGCTACAGAGGTGACTGTTGTGCCGGACAAATGAGAATTTGACCCATTCTGCTTAGCTAGCTAATCTTACTGGATAGTGTTTGGCCAAACTACCAGCTTGGTGTTTTTCCCCATATTACTTTTCAAGTGCTTCTCACGCCAGAACTTACTGAACGACAATTGTCCGTCCGTCCATCCATTTGTATGGTAAAAATCAATCTTTCCCTAAAAATACCGTCATGGGCCAGAAGACAGTGCAGGGTGTGTATCTGTGGATTTTTGTACATTTCCGATTGGTTGTCTTTGTCACGTTTTTGTAACCCGTTTCTGCCGAAAAGGCTGTGAGCTGCTTTTACCCGTGGGTTGGGATTTTACTAGCATCTGACTAAACACTCATGTAGGGTGAGTTCATCACTGCAGCTTTTAGAAGAGTCTGGGAGTCGTGCTTCATGCGGCCCTCTTATCCCCCACACCGGAAGCAGCTGACTCAGACTCTTATTTCGACTCTGCAGTGAGCATTGATTGCGGCTCAGTCTCAGTCACACAGGGCTGAGAGCTGGGTTCGAAGTCTCATTTCTGGGATTATTGGGCCGTCAGTGTTTTATTTTCTGGTCTCATTATCTAGTTAGTTGGCATCTTGTTCCAAGTCACATGATTCAGATTAACCATCATTTGATCGTAGGTCATATGGTTCAGATTAGCCAGCATCTTGTCCTGGGTCACATGATTCAGGTTAGCCAGCATCTTATCCTGGGTCACATGATTCAGGTTAGCCAGCATCTTGTCCTGGGTCACATGATTCAGGTTAGCCAGCATCTTGTCCTGGGTCACATGATTCATGTTAGCCAGCATATTGTCTCAAGTCACTTGGTTCTCATTAGCCAGAATCTTAATTTGAGTTTTATGATTATCATGCATCTTATACTGAGTGTCATGGTTACGATTACCTGGTAAACAATGGGCAAGGTATCTTTTCAGAAAATTTTTCTCTCTACATGCTAATGACTCCCATCAAAGACGAGCAGGCAGGATAACATACCGGGGGCCAACGTGCTTCTATTGGATGTGCAGTATGTTATATTGCAGCTGGGTACATTTGGGGGTGAGTTACGCTACAGCCAAAGGAGGGACTAATGGGACACAAACATTAGAAGGGCTCAGTAAAACATGATGTATGTATTTCCTTACAAATACAAACTTCACTTTGCAAGGAGTCTACAAAACATCAATTACCAAGGACAAGGAGATATTTGAGTGTGATGTTTCAGCTGTTGGTTGTACTCAACGGAGTAACTGTCTTATCTCATTTAGTAACACAGGCTGGAGGCAGCAGGAGGGTGGAGGGGGAGATGGGGCACACAGATGGGCTCTTTGTGGCGCAGACTCGTTGCACGGCACACTTTCAGGGCTTCTCCGTCAGACGATCGGATCCGTAAATGACAGCTTGTGTTCTTCAACCAGCTGCCATATGCTCTCATGAATATTCAGGAAACGTACTGGTGCCGACCCGCCCAGTCAGGAGCGGAATAACAGGCTCTTCACTAGGAGAGAGGTGGAGATTAACGCACTTCTCGTCAGTATTGGCCCACGCGGGTCTAATTTTGTAGTCTGCTTAGCAAGAGTGACTGTCAGCACAAGCAACTGGTTCATTTGAATATCGCCATGACAGCAGTTATCCCTTTATACGATCGGGACAGAAACATCTCGGAACAAGAATAAGTGGTTTTTACTATAGGAAGGGTAGCAACATTAATGCGTGACATTTGTAATAATGTTATAAATACCAATAATGTAATAACATGCCAGTATTGTAATAAATTACCTATTCTTAATGTAGTAAAATTCAATAATGTAACATCAGGTCAATAAAATAATATCTTATTACATTATCGGCAAAAAGATATTACATTACTGGTTCAGAAAATGTATTACATTTTTGGAGAGAGTGAGAGGGAGGTACAGAGCGTTCACTGATGCAGTGTGTTGCTGCACCCATCACACGACAAACCACCTCAGGGACGAGAACCTGAGTGCACCCATGCGGAAGGCGATACCTCAGCACCACACTAGTATTAATGGACCAGTGTGAGGTTTTTTCCAGTGGCTGCAGTGCCAATCCTGCCACCAACCCCCAAGTTTTTCCCTGTAAGTGGGAGGACCTCCTTATAGGGCTGGATGTAGATTAACATCAGACACAGGATGAAGCAAATGCAGGTTAAGGGCCTCGCTCAAGGGCCAAATGAAGTAGAATTACTCTAGACATGTACGGGATTTGAACCAGCAACCTTCCAGTTGTTGGCACAGATTCCCAGCCTCAGAGCCACCAGTCCACCCCATTTTTGGAGAGTTACTACATTATTGAATTGTATTATATTAAGAATGGAAAGATTACTACAGTATTGCCAGTTATTACATTATTGACTGCAACAACATTAAACCACCTTGGTGCACTAAATATTTAAGTGCATACTAAACCTTTGAGTAATATATTCTTCAGTACTAGAAGATAAATTCCAAACAGTCTATACATATTATTTAATTAGCAGGTTCTGATTTTGTCTACATTTTCCTTGATAATTTTTTAAACAGTGCAGAAAGTGACCTGGTGTTTTTATTAAACTTTTTTTTGAGGCAAACCGTCAGCTCCGTCATGCTTTTTACGGACGAGACGCACTTCAACGCATTTGTGCTTCAGTGTGAAACAGAACACTACCAGCAGCAAAACCACAGCCGTAGTGACTCAGAAAACCCAGAACGCACTGAGCCGTAGTGCCTCTCTGTCATGTGGCTGCGTTTTCCTAAAACCTGAGATTCTCTGTAGTTCATCTGTCTGTCCATCTATCTTCCAAGTGCTTCTCCCGGTCAGGGCGGCAGGGCTTCCGGAAGAGCATGGGAATAAGAGCAGCTGAAAAACCTGGATCAGCATGTGGATCAGTATCGCACAGCACAGATCCTGTGATGTGCAGATGGAGCAAATCCGTCTGAGTCATCGCTTGGTCCTGCTGTCTGCTGTCAGTTAATATCATGTGTCCAAGTTGGATCTGCAGGGATGATGAATCTGCATCTCATCCCTTTGACTGAAACATGAGAATGGAGGCCTATCATGAGACTGGGTCTGCAGTAGCCTGAGGATAGAACCGGGTCTGGGGAATAGGACCGGGTTTGGGGGATAGGACCAGGTCTAGGGAATAGGACCGGGTTTGGAGTGGGCTTGCGACAGGTCCGGGTTTGGAGTAGGCCAGAGATAGGACCAGGTTTGGAATGGGCCGGGGATAGGACCTGGCCTGGAGTGGGCTGGGGTTAGGACCGGGTTTGGAGGGGGCTGGGGTTAGGACTGGGTTTGGGGGCCAGGAGCTGGCCTCTTCCATTCGGCCCCCTGC